GTACCAACGCCACTGATTGATGTCATGGTCATGTGATCAGACAACCTCATAGAGAAAGGGGATTTAACCCTGGATGCTAGGTTTGGGACAGGCACCACTTGGAAGCCACTGGAGCCACCTGCTAAGGTTAGTTTGTTCGCTTATTAACTTATCACATTCAGAGGAGCTGATCTCTGGGATGACTATGGGGGCATCCCCCCTTGCTATTATGAGCTCTACATATGAAGTTCTTTTCCCAAAAACATATACTTTGATGAGACATGTTTATAAAGTCTGTGCACCTTAAAAGCCCAATTCAATTCTCTTAGATTAATTGGTTGTTTCCAGGGTGGGGTGCACTATATCTAGGACAATGGGAAACATGTTGTGTAACATTTACATAGGTTTCAAGTAGGCAGGTTATAAGCATGATGTACTGTAGCTTTAATGAAAGACATGCTGGAAGGTTAATTGGCTCCTGTCTAATTTGGCCCTGTATGTGTGTGTGATAGTGACCTTAGATTGTAAGCTCCTTTAGGGCAGGAACTGATGTGAATGTGCACTGCGTAAGTTGTTGGCACTATATAAATACCTGTAATAAATAAATAAATAAAGTGTGCCAGTGCCATTTAACACAGGTAGCTGTAATTCTAAAGCAACCACATCCAGCAGTGCTAAAGCAAATATCCCGCTCAGCCAAATAGCAGGTAGATCTATATGAAGCAATAGCTAACCTGAGCAATATGGAAAACACAACCACACAGTTGTGTATAATTTCCTCTTAACGAAGGACTAATTTTGCATGATTATCTGTTCCTGCATAAACAGATTGCAGCCCATGTTTAAAGGGTTGTTATGCTCATCTCTTCCAGCTTTCTCTTCTTCCAAAAAAAGCAGAACTGGCAACCTTTTGGAGGTCTCTTTCTGGGAAGACATAGAGACACACTGGGGTCTATTCACTAAGCTGCCGAGGGCAGCCGAGTGAATGACCGATCTGAAGTGAAGTGAGCCGAACACTGTTCGGCTATTCACTTCAGGCTGGTACGGCTAATTTCAGCCGTACATCGGCTGAAATCAGCCGTACATCGGCTTGCTTCGCGTGGCTTCAGGTCGGCCGAACATGCTCAGCATGTTCGGCCAACCCGAACTGCAGAAGGAGTTCGACTCAGCCGATCCAACATCTGGATCGGCTGAGCCGAACCTCTGGCAGGCTTCTCACTGCTGTTCGGGCTATCCTTAAAGATGCCGAACAGCAGTGAGTGAATAGCCGAATGCCGCTGAGCGGCATTCGGCTCGGCTGTTCTGCTCGGTCCCTCAGAGGGACCGAGCAGAACAGAAAAAGAGTGAAAAGAGTTAAAAAAAGTAAATAGAAAACGATTGTGCGGAGGAATAGTTTCCTATTGTCCGGCGGCTCTGCTGCTGTTAAAAAAACCACTGTCTTTCAGTTTGGGGTTGGTTGTACAGTATCAAGCTCACTACTGTATATGGAGAGTGGAACCATTACTAACAGAAGTGAAACTTGATCATGCTCTCCTACATAGATTTCAATTTTAATATTAGTTTTGTTAAGAGAAAAACAATCCCTCTTTAGGTAAACTATATTTTTGCCAGAATTTTAGCAAAATGTATTGCAAATGTGTATCTCATTCTCTCTTGTTAATTCTGATGTAGGCTTTGAAAATTGGAGACTTTCTAAAACGGACTGCTAACCAGGAAGGTCTGTTTTCAGGTTAAGCAGTATAATAAGATAAGATTCAGCATCAACATCCACTTATATGTTCAAATGACTCACATGAAACATAGTGCAGGAGATATTTGGAATTTTGTGGCAGTCAAATAAAATTTTAGCTAGTAATTGATTGAAAAGGCAAGGTCATTAAAAAACAAACAAACAAAAAATGTGTTTATTCTCATTTCGGATTTTTCGTTTTTTCGAGATTCGGGTCTGAAAGTCAATTAGTTTGAATCCGAATTTTCGTTAATTTTGGTTTAAGTTTGAGTTAAATGATAATTATGAATGAATATTTGTTGCAGAAAAGTGACATTAAATGTTTACTGTATTTCTTTTTAACTTTTGACACTCCACAGAAACAAGAAAAAAAACGGCATGCGGTTCCCCAGAACAATTTATATCGGACCCTTTAGGAGGTCTGGTGGGTATTTTAAGGGAGAACCCAATGCCAAAAAAATGGGAAAAAAAGCGTGGGGTCCCCCCTAAAAGCCCATACCAGACCCTTAATCTTGGCAGCAGCCTGTCAGGGCAGGAAAGGGGTGGGAGAAACGAGCACCCCCCCCCCCTCCACTATACCAGGCCACATGCCCTCATTAAGAGGGTGCTTTTCCAGTGGGGGCAAGCACCCCTGGAAAAGCACCTTGTCCCCATGCTGATGGGGACAAGTGCCTCTTCCCCACAGCCCTGGCCCAGTGCTTGTGGGGGTCTGCGGGCAGGGGAGCTCATCTGCACCCAGGTGCCAACCCCCATTGTGAATGAGTAAGGGGTACTTGTACCCCTACTCAATCTCTAAAGAGTTGAATAAAATGTAAATAAATACACAACATCTTAGAAAAAAATTACTTTAATTGAACAAAAACACATCCTGTGTTTTTGACAATTCCTTTAGTTAAAAAAAGAAAAATAAATGTCCCACAAAGTAATTCCAGCATCGGCCGACAAAAAACCAACAACTCCTTGATGCAATGTTTACATCGGGCAGTGGGGAGAAATAAACAAAGCCTGCTATTGGCTATTTAAAATTGAACAACAAAGACAAACAAGTCCAGAATGTCAACAAAGAGAGAAGCTTGAGAGCGATAAATGACAGCTCTCCTACTTGTGTTTCATTCTGAATGAAATTCGGATGTATCTGAACTTCATTATTAAACATTTGGACACGTTCGGATTTGTTATTGCTGTCATTCAGAAATTCGGATGCATCCGAATGTACGCATTTCCGAAAATTCATACGAATTTCAATTCGGAACAAAACGAATCACACATGTCTAATGATAAATGTTATAATAATTTTTAAACTAAATTGGGGTATTCCTGCTATGCATCACCAATCTAACCTTCTACAGCTAGCAAGCTAAAGGGCAGTAAATTGGTAAAACGGAAAGACTAACAAAATGTCACTTTATTATTGCCCTTTATAGAGTATATTCCTTGAAAAATTCAATAGTATTACAAATAATATGAACGAATGTGGCAGAAATTACAATAGGGTAGTAGAACTGAGATATTTTGTTCATAATGACTTAACAACACAGGGAATACTTGATCATATTCGCACTTGTTAAGCTCACCATTAGTACTATGTACCTGGAAAATCATCACAGGGAAAATCTGATATCCCTTAAACACTTACACTTACAAACACATACATACACTTTCTAGGGCATTTTATAAATTCTAATTAATGTAAGGGGATGTTTTTGGGTTGAGGGAGGAAACTAATGCACAAAGATTGCCCATTTGGTGCCATTTAAACTCTGAAAGCACTGCTACAAGGTGGAAACCCATTATGGCCTAATGTTCACCGCAAGCATAATTTGAAGCAGTTACATCCACTACAAAGATCAAGCTGTAAATGGTGACCCTATATGCTAAGTCATACTAAGCAAAGTCCTGCAGAAACTAAAATGATTGTATCTGGACAAGCAATAAAGTTCAAATTCTTTCACTGAAATGAATTCTGCTTCCCACACACAAATTATTGCCTTCACACGCCACCTTGGGTTCCCTAAAGCTTTGAAGAGCCAATTTTCTGTTCTGTGAGAAGGGAGTTTATATGAAGAAATTACTTTCTTTTGTGTAACTAATGAGTGTTTCTCACGGCAGAAGGCTGTTACTAGAAATACAGTGGAAATTAACACTTTCAAAATATACAGCATGTTCCATCCAGTAGGATAACTGAAAACCTCAGGGTGATGGAGCAATATATAGTAGATACAGATGTGTTGTGAGTATGCAGCTGATAGATTAGGAGTTATAGCTGGGCCTTCTTCCCAAGGGTTCAGAAGCATTTACTACCTCCCCAGATACATCCTCATCAACGAACGCATACACACATGGGACATGTCTGTATAATTTGGGATTTTTTTTTGTCCATCATGGCAATTTTTGGCTATAACATCATTAACATGTAATAGATTGCCTGGTGGTAACCTTTTAAAATTCAAAATAAAAGAGACTAGATAAAAGTATTTTGCTTATTGGCTGTACAAAATGGGTACAGTATGATGTTTGGCTGGTTTCATGTTTACTTCCCTAAGGTCACATAATGTAGCAGGAGATAAATAGCCTATCATTATTATTCTTTAAATATAATCATATATTTATCACACATAAAGTGAGAGCACCTTGAAACAAAGCTAAATTCCTATTAAAAGTTTACTACTATTGCATGCCTGGAAGTGGAAAATATGTGATTCTATTAACACATCCACCATCATAACAGTAAGCAGCATTATTAGGTCTCAATGATGGTGTATGCCTGAAAATCAATATGACATAATGGCAGCACCTTAGAGATCAGATTATAGTGTGACATATCTAGACAACACATCTCAAAAACGTTCCTTAGTTAATAGGTGAACTAATCTCCATCTAAGCACTCTTGTCTTGCTGATACATTCCCTTAAAGGGTATTACATACATAAGACAGTATGATTACAGAAATGTGTATAAGTTTGCGTATCTAAAGATTTTGACTTATTCTTGGAACCGGCAATACAGCACAACCATTTTTCATTTGATTGCTATCAACACTTCCTTTATTATGTGAACAGAATAGAAATATACAATGATGCAACAAAAAAGACATGCACTAATAATCTGTTTTGATTCTATTAATTTCAAAATACATATGAAAATGATTTTGTTTTTGCTAAGAAAAATTATTGTGGATCTTTACCAATACAGAATATTTGGAAGATAAGTATACACTAAAGTAGTACTTAGAACTTTTACAGTAATGCCTTCCCTTTTCCATAAGCGTAGGTAATGCATTGTACAGTTCTGATTAGTAAACAGAATCAATCCCATTGAGATATTGGTCATGGGAAGTAATTCTAGTTCCATGCACCTCTTCGTGCTTGCAAGGGCAATAGCGTTTTATAAGATGCTTCAAATGTCTCCTGAATTTGATCCCAACAAAAGCATATAAAATAGGGTTGAGGAAACAATGTGAAAGTGCTATTTTTTCGCTAACATACTTTGCATAGTCAATACGTTTAATCAATTCACAATCCATAAGAAACTGTTGATGGTGAAATGATTGTAACAAGATAGTAACATTGTAAGGTGTCCAGCTGAGAAAGTATACAAGAACAATAAAAAGAATGAGTCTAACTGGTTTGTGGTTCCTTTGTGATCGAGAATGCTGTAATGTGCTTATAATCCTATAATAGCAGAATATGATGGAAGAGAAGGCAAGTAGAAAAGAGATATTTTGCTGATAGTGACTTAACAATACAGGGAATACTTGATCATATTCACATTTGTTATGATCACCAGTTGTACTATGTACCTGGAAAATCATTACAGGGACTGAAGCAACTATGCTTATTACCCAGGCTAGCACAGTAATCAGAATTCCCAAAAAAGTTTTTTTGGCTTTTAAAGCAGACAGTGGATCTACAACTGCAAGATAACGATGATATGTAAGAAATGTCAAGAAAATAAGTCCGCTGTAAAATCCTATTGAGAAAAGGATGTTGAATATTTTGCAAGCCATAGCCCCAAACACCCATCCTTGACTTTGGTACACAGAAAAAAATGGTAGACAGGATGTTAAAATTAGGTCCGCGATTGACAGGTTAAATATGAAGATGTTTGTAAGTGACTCCAGACTTTCATATGTCATTAAAATCCAGAGGACAAGGCAATTTCCAATGATCCCAAAAATAAAAATAAAGGAATTTAAAATGGTTGAAAAAAGTGTTACAAACATTTTAACATCTTCTTTGTTGCATGGTGAAACTATGACAGGATCGTAATCAGTTGTATAATCTGGAAATGTAGTTTCTTCCATCATGTATTTATTTCTTTTTCTTTTATCTATATTAATGAGAACATAAATAGATTTTATATTTCATCAGAAAACAATTACTACTTTCCTAATAATGAATATGGTCTTACCTTTGCAAAAGTGAAAGGAACTAAAAAGTGAAGTGAACGTTACATTTAGTATAAGTGTGTTAACTTCTTGTTTTTATTTTGATGTGGTTACATTGAGAGGAAATAAGCCATAACATGTATTTTTGTTTCTGCATTTGGTGTTTAGTAGAAATAAAATCCCTGTAAAGAAAACTGAGAGCAAAATAATAATGTAATGTGTAGCGATCACCCCAAAGGAGCCGCTGAATGCCTGGTTCATCTCTAGTCTGTCTAGGGTATGTTCTTCAGCTGCCCACAAATTAGCCTTAACCGCCCTTCTTCTATTGCCCACAGATTGATGTCCACTCCAGTAATAAAATGCTGAATAATGTTTTAATGAACATCTTCACTGAGGAGAGAGGGTATAGGGGTTCTAAGCTTCCAGGGGTAACTGACAAGAGCTCCAGACTCACCAGACCTGGTTGGCATATCAGAGTAGATCAACTTAACAGCTAAGCAGGATGGATACAGATCCTCAAACAGGAAAGACACCGACTATACTCCTGAAGTCCTCTTAGTTCCAGGGCACTTCAAGAGCCAGCATTGGTCCCGGTTCTCTTCCTCAGACAGCAAGACAGGCCTCATCCATGTTGGAGGCCTCGGGGAAACCTTTCCTTCACACCAGCCCATGCACACCCCAGGCCTATCTCAGCATGCACCACTGGCTGAGAGAAACCCAGTGATTGGCTGCTGTGCTGTACATACACCACAGTGTCTCTCATTGGCTGTCCCACAAAATGACAGAGTCACATTCCGCCCAGGGGGTACAGGCAATGCCAGACACCTTGAATTAACCAGATAATTGCCACTATAAATCCAGTCATGCTGACTACAGCCCTGGCTATCACTAAACATCTAGTAGCCACATCACAGAAGGGATGGGGGCTACAAATGTAATTTATGCTATCCATAAAAAAGTTTAATTGCCTTCTCAGTGTCCTTTTGGGCCACCAACATTTTATGGTATTTCCCAGTTTCTAAACTTTTTAGAAGGTGTATTAGATGGTAGTATGGAGGCAGACATAGGGTATGCTTTTCTTCTGTGGTTAACTGAGAAGTCTTCTCAAGAAGCAAAACAGCAACTTTACAGGCCCAACATAATAGCTCATATAAGTGCCCCTTATTTACATCTCAGGGAGGTAGCTTTATATAAGCCACAAAGGTCTTATTTGTGTTAAAGGTGAAATATATCATCTGGCAGACGACTGGACAACACTTTTTCAGCCCTTCTCCAAGCATTCTCTGCCACAGAAATGTCAACATGTCTCGCTGCTGCAATACACACACATTATTTACATGATTTCCCATTCCTAACTAAAACCTTTACTTAACTGAGCCAGTTATTTAATTTTTCCACTAAGTCACAAGACATTACCCTGTCTCCCCAACCAATCTGGTGCCTGAGTTTACTATTGCAGAGCATCAGTACTTGAAAATTGTCCTATCTCTAAATTCCCTTTAAAAGTACTAAGACACACTAACAGGCAGCCTGGAGCTCCAGTAGCATTTTCAAAAATATGGTTTGGTAGGTAGCCTAGGCAACCTAGAAGTGATGAGCTGCTGAGCTTGGTGTGAAGAGTTACAGCACCTGTGAATTACTTTGAAGTGACAGATGCCACTATTTTACTACCAGCGTTGAGCAGAAAGATGCTATCACTCTTACTGTATAGCATTATGACTGAATATTGCTTTAGTTACTATAGAGTTCATTCTATAATGAATGATGCTGCCAGACTTATTCACATCACCAACTATTTAGTGGCTGCTGCCCTTCTCTTCCAATCTCTCAATTCCTCCCAAGACATCCTGCTCTCTAGCTTCCTCATTACCTCCTCCCAAACTTTTCTCCATGATTTATCCAGAGCCGTTACCTTCTTTTGGAACTCCCTATCCAAACCCATACAGCTATCTCCTGTTCTGTCCACCCTTACGTGATCCCTGAAAACTCATCTTTACAGGAAAAGCCTATCCCACCTCAACCTAAGAACTGCACTTTTTCTTTCTCCATCAGCTCAACCTTCATAGTTAATAGCTAATGTATCACTTACCCTTAACTTTAAATTGTAAGCTCTCATGAGCAGGGTCCTCCCAATCCTCTTGAGTTGTAATGTAAATGTCTCTTTATTTTGTGATGTACTGCACAAACTGTTGATGTTATATAAATCCTGTATTATTACAATAATAATATTGAATGCCAGCAGCTAAAATGGTTGTAAAATTACAAAGCTATTATGAGTAGGGCTCTGGCTATGATAACCATTGGTTATACAACACATAGTGTAGGTATGAAGTGGTTAACTTAAAATTAACTAGGTTACATGTTGGGTTGTATACAATATCACCACAGCTTGGTTTGGGTTTAAAGGTATAGACTCGAGCTATTGTGAGTAGGGCTCTGGGTAAGATACTCATATCTTACAACATTTATACAACATTTCATCTCTGTGCCGTTTCATCCATGCTATTGGCAGTAGAACTATGTGCCATCCAGGTGCACTGTAGACATTTCACAGCTTTCAATATTAAAAGTCTTGTAAGTGGAAACTGCCTCAGATTAATTATATGTAAAACTACCTGATTTGGTAAGTTTGCTTTATGTTCCAGCAGCATGTGTTGTTTTATGCCATGTGTATCATGTGTTTTTTGTTGGAGTGCACCATTTGTATCCCTTATGGTCAACTATGGCTGTATAGCTAAAATGAAGTAGGGAAATTGAGCTTTCACATATATTTGCAAGTATAAGCAAACAGCATAACGTTCAAACTAGAAACAAATAAAACTGTGTTTCTCTACTGCCTAACAGGGCCATGTGCCTGGCAATTGTGTACTGTACAAAGAAAAAGTGGGATACCATAGAGAAATAAACCCAAGGTGGTATACTTACAGCAGTCTGTTCAGAGGATACCCTATTTTGGTGTACTATTTAGGACATGTACTCCATTGGTCAAGCTGCACAGACCTGAAAGCTAGATGAATGGTGCCAGACCTTCCCCCATATACCACCTGCAAGTGTAAAGACTGAAGTAAAGAATCCTCCCACACTAAAATAACTAGAGAAGTTTGAGGACTGTCATATCCCTGCAAAAGCTGGGTATACAGGGCCAGATTAACATAGGGGCCGGTGGAGCTCCCGCTCCAGGCCAGCACCTGCAAATAGGCCTGGTTGACTCAGCCTGAATCGCGGCCCGGTCAGCCTGACCCAAATCGCGGCTGGCCCGACCCTACCTGAATCGCGGCTCCAGGTGGTCAGTGTGGGCTCCAGGTGGTCAGTGAGACTGGTGGCCGTGACCAGGCAGCCTCGGCCCTCTATTCAGTCATATTAGAGGGCCCTCTGATAAGCCTGAGCAGAGAGCCGCATCTGCTGTGGCCGCAGCCGCCAGTCTCACTGACCACCTGGAGCCCGCACTGACCACCTGGAGCCCGCACTGACCGCCTGGAGCCCACACTGACCACCTGGAGCCCGCACTGACTGCCTGGAGCCAACACTGACCATCTGAGAGCCTGTACTGACCACCTGGAGCCCGCCCTGACCACCTAGAGCCTGCACTGACCATTTGAGAGCCCATACTGACCACCTGGAGCTTGCACTGACCATCTGGAGCCCACACTGACCACCTGGAACCCTTACTGACCACCTGGAGCCCACACTGACCACCTGGAGCCTGCACTGACCACCTGAGAGCCCATACTGACCACCCAGAGCCCATACTGACCACCCGGAGCCTTCACTGACCACCTGAGAGCCTGCACTGACCACCTGGAGCCCGCACTGACCATCTGGAGCCCGCACTGACCACCTAAAGCCCATACTGACCTCCTGAGAGCCCATACTTCAGGTGATCACCTGAAGCCCATATTGAGCACCTGGAGCCCACACTGACCACCTGGAGCCTGCACTGACCACCTGAGAGCCCAGACTGACCACCTGGACTCCTCACTGACCACATGAAGCCCATACTGACCACCTGGAGCCCACACTGACCACCTGAGAGCCCATACTGACCACTTGAATCCTATACTGACCACCTGAAGCCCATAATGACCACATGGAGCCCGCACTGACCACCTGGAGCCTGCTCTGACCACCTGAGAGTTCATACTAATCACCTGGAGCCCGCACTGACCACCTGAGAGCCCACACTGACCACCTAAGAGCCCGCACTGACTGTCTGAGAACCTGCACTGACTGCCAGAAAGCCCACACTGGCCCCCTGAGAGCCCGCACTGGCCATCTGAGACTCACGCTGGCCATCTAAGAGCCACCTAAGAGTCTGAACAGCCTAATGAGAGCCTGCACAGCCCGCCTAAGCCCTGCACAGCTCTCCTGAGACCCTGGAAAAATCAGACCGTGAACCCGAAGCAACACGGATTGTGTAGCTTCATATTATTCTGCATTGCTGTATAAAGTATTGCTGAGATTTGCAGTCCTCTTTAGCTGATAGTATTTTTCTGCAGTGCTTTACAATGAACTGTTGGGACTTGTAGTCCTCCATAGCTAGTGGTATTATTCTGCATTACTGTATAATTTATTGCTGGGATTGGTAGCCCTCTATAGCAGGTGGCATTCTGCATTTCTTTGTAATGTATTACTGGGATTTGTAGCAGTGGCGTAACCAGAGTTATGGGCGCCCGGGGCAGAACATATTATATAAACATCCACTAGAACTGTACCACCACCCCCACACATATATATCAGATAAGGAACTACAAGTCCAAGCATGCCATCATTGTCCCTGTACACCCCCCCACACACACACATATCAGCCAGGGAACGGCAATATCTAGTTGTTGTAAATTTGTAGTCCTCCATAGTTGCCGATATTTTGCAGTGCTGTATAATGTCCCTCTACAGCTTGGAGTCATTGACAGATCTACCAGCTGCAACCAGCCCTGGTGC